CCCAGAATATTTTACCAAGACACAAACCAGATTAATTGAGTTATTTAATCTGTAATGTTTAATAGAATTAACTTCAAATTGATGAGTTTGAAGTTGATCCTATGAAATTAAAATTGCTCTATATCTTTCTGTCTACGAACTAATTCTTTCTTCCCATACTATATCCTTATATGCATTCTTTCTTTTATATATTTACCACCACTGAATTAACTACTTCTATGAATTCGGTGTTCATTTTGTTGTGCTAATGAGGTATGGTAACTTGAACCGATGTATATATATATATATATATATATATATATATATATATATATATATATATATATATATATATATATATATATATACATGTACCTGGTTCTACGTTGTAACTGACTGATTGATTCAAACTCATCATTAACATAATTCCCTCAATTATCTCAAGTTACATACATCTAAATGTAATTTATTTTATAGAAGCCTTAACAATTCACACCTTTAAAATGTAAGTTGCATAAAAAACAGTATGTTAAATTCTATTCTTTACATTGGGTTTTAATCTAAAAAATTTTTTTAATATTTCACTTTTATGTCTACAAAAATATTACTATGGTGGTAAAAAAGTTGTGTTTTTTTTTTGCACAGAATTATTGATTATTAGTTACTACTTCATGTCAACTTAATAACGCTCTTGTTTACATTAATAATTGATTAACAAATTTCTCACATTTCACTCATTCACTCTATCAAAAGCTATTTGTTTGTTTAAAATTATTTAATCAAAATTGACATTAATTTTAAACAAATGCACAATTGATCATTAATTTTATAAAGTTTTACATCACGAGATGATCTTAGTAAGAAAAAACCCATTGAGAAATAGAAAACACTGAACAGATTTTATATCCTAATATTGAACTTCTTAGTTATTAGAACAACAAATATACCCGTTTATTTGACCTTCTATTTCCAACGTTTAATTATTGATAAGAGTTTTGTTATTGTATTTTATTATTCTCACTATTATCAGTTCACCTGTCTTCCTACTATCAACTTGTACTTTTACCTAGAGACTTATTTTATTTCATTGTGATTATTGACTCATATTGCCTTGATTGGTTTAACATTTTCGTATAAATATTCATGTATATTAGAGTAAAGCCTAATGACGATCTAATTGAAAACAATATTGTTCGCTTATATGTGTTGTTCTAATTTTCACAATGGGAATCTTTAATATTCTTAGTTATTCACATTTACTTCATCAATATGCATCGAATTTAAATAGTTTTTAAACACATTCTGATTATTACAAGTTATATACCTATTACTGATCGTTTAATTGTTTAGTAAAAATGTCTTAATAAAGTTTATCAGATCTACAAATAGTTTTCTTTATTTGGTCATTGAATGCTGTAAAAATTTGCAATCGATTAACCGAATTATTCCATGTTATTATGTTATATCACTTACTAGTGATGAGAATAATTTAGATATCAACAACTTGTTTTTAGAGCTAAGGGCTCTGTAATAAGATTAACCCGGAAAGATGAGTCCCTATAATAAGGTTATTGTGGCTTTAAAAAAAATTGGCTATTAGGGGCTCTTGATTCAAATATGAATTTCAGCATACTAATTGATGTATCACGTCAAAAAAATAAAATCACAGTACTTTTAATTGGAATATATACTTCCAATCTAATGAACAACTTAGTAATTCCTGAAAAATTAATTTCACAAAAAGATCCAGAAAAATAATTTCACTACGTTCAAAAATTTACACACACACTAACGAATTAAAATGACCAGAAGATTGAAAAGTTTATAATTAAGCTACAAACTCACACCAAGTAGTGTGATTTTGAACGCCAACCGTTAATTTAATTTGATCGATCAAGTATGGTTTCTAGGATATAAGATCCGTATGTGAAACCTATGGAGATACGTAATTTGAGGTTCATGAGAAAATTCAAGTAATTTACTAGATCACTTCATATAGACGAACCATTCAGGCCGTAACATTGTGTTTATTTGGCAATAGCTCTAGCTGTTATAGTAGAATAACAAACGAAATACTTGTCAAGCCAAGTAGCAGCAGCAAACTTGAAAAATTATCCCTGATTTATAGCGAAAAATCATCTGGATATGAAGTTTCTTAATATTAAATCAGTGTCGTAGCAGTTCACAATGTGCAGAAAAAGTTCTGGTTCTCCACATATAACTCGAAACTGACACCGGACGCTTACAGAGTACTTGATTATCCACAAATTGATGGGATCTTATTTTTGGAAATAGTAGTATACATCTGTGTTGAACACACTAATATGGTTAATCTCTCGAGACCTATATTTGAATGGTTTCATCAAGACTACTGATTCTGTTACAAGTATTACCAGACATATGAGCCAACGAAAATTTTCCACACCAAAGGTTTTAAAAATGCATAGGCGTACTCTAGTAACTGTTGAAGTCAGTCAGTCAGTAACAACGTAGAACTTAGTACGTACGTACATCAGTTCGAGTTGCCACACCACATTAGCACAGATGCAGTGGTCGATTCAAATCCCGTAGTGGTAGAGGTAATGAGAGTATAAGCAGTAATCGGAAAGATTAGTGTTTGGAGATGTTACTTAAAAAGTATAATACAGTGAAACAAACTTGGGAAGAGAAAAAAAGAGACAAGGGGGAATCAGGAAATCAAAATTTGGGAGAACACAAAGAGTGGATGCACCTGAGCCATTGCAAACGATTTTGAGCCATGTTGAAAGTATCAAATGCTTCATCTACTAGTTGCAAGATTGGACTGGAGACTCCACACGTAACTACACTTACAGGGTGATACTGTTCTTTAAAAGGATGTACTACGTCTGTTCTTCGAGTGACAGTTTACAAGGTATCGAATGACTGTCTGGTAAATGACCCACTTCAATATTATTCTTAGGAAACTTATCGTCGTTGATGCTATTAGGTTGCTTGATGACTGTTAAACGGACACCCAGAAACACTATAGATCAAGATATTTCAACCGACTTCACACGTTTGGCTTAGATTTCGTGAATCTTTATAATCAAATTACCCTCTTTAGAGACCTGCATTACTTAAAAATCTAGTACCTCGTCTGATCAAATCAGATCTTAATAATATCACATCCATGTTGCTCGACAGCAGTTCTCTAAAACGTTACGGACATTCACGTTAACAGCTTAACAACTTCATAGTCCTGCTGTACATGCTATGAGGAAGTTAGTCCCACTCTGCCATAGTCTAATTGAAAATAACAATACTATTATTTGAAGAGTCCATTTTCAAACTCATTATTTGCAGCAAGTTGATAACTAATGGTTTCTGATCGAATTCCAAGCTCCAAAAAATACACCTCTTAAACTTTTCATTAGGAGATTTTTCAGTACCCTTCCTGTTTTAAACCAAAATCACCAAAACATGCAAGCTGTTTCCGGAATTCAACCAACATACATAAACTAGACATAATCACTAATTATACCATAGGTACCAAAAAGTCTTACAATCCTACTCCAAAGTTGAATGGTTTTACCAGTTTACATGCTGAAAAATAGGGGTTAACATGCCTATACACAAATTTTGGTTAAAACAAAAGGGCTACCCTGATCCAAACACATTGTTCAGCATAGCACAAAGTAATTTATGAGTCGATGAACATAAGCAACTATATTCAGGCTATCAAATACCTAACATGGCGCCACCCAAGAAATGGAGGTTGGTGTTAAAAATTAATATATGGAAACTTTTTTGTCCAAACTATAAATTTAGTAATAATGTCCCTATTATATACAACTCATCCTCCAACTAAGTACTTGATTTTGAGACATGTTTTCTGAGCCCGTGATGCCAACGAATATCCGGAACCAAAGCAAGTGAGATGGAATGCGAATCAGTAGCCTACGCCAGCATTTTATACGTTATTAATGACTACATAAAGCGACGTTACCAAGATAACATTATTCATCGGGTTCCAAAATAGTCAGCATACTACAGCCCGACAAGATACCGGAAATTGCACATCAACAAACAGAGCTCTATAAGGAAATTACCTTTCAAAATGTAAGTGACACTAGTCAATTCAGTTCAGTGAAAACCTGTTTTTGATATTTAATCAAAAGTTAATCGGAGCATCAGAACGTAAGTTTTAGAGCATTAATACCATTGTACCATGTCCAGAGACATTACACTAGTTAGATCTGGAGATAAAAAGAAAAATGGGAAGTAAATCTAGTCTAGTCGGATTTCCATAAGAATATCTGTCTCACGACAACAAGATTTTATCAACTTTGTTCAAAATGGATATCACTGTACTCGATGAATCGTTTCCAACGCTGTTTTGATTTCACTATCAAGTACAAGTCACACATATGCGTTATCAATTAACTAACAGCTAGAAATTATAGAGTTTAACCCATACTAATGACAAACAGAATCTTGGTAGTGTTATTAAATAATTAAGATATGTTATTCAACAGGGTAAAGGTATCGCAAATTATTCAGACTTCTTCGAAGTAACCAACGCAAAACGTTAAAATGAAGCACGTAAACTGGGTAGTTAGTTTCGTAGTTATTTGAAGTATCTCAGTAAGTGATCAGGTCAAAGACATCATGTACAAACGAGGAGAATGTGCTAGTGTCATGTAGTTCTAAAAGACAATCCGTTTTATGGAGCGTAGAACCTGACGCATGTACATTAGTTCAAGTTGCCGCATAACATCAGGATAAAAAAAACTAGGGAGAATCCCAGAACAGTAGAAGTAGTAACAGTACTAGTGGTAAGAAAGATTAGGTACTGAAGATACGACTTGAGTGAATATGGATTAATGAAACAGAATAACCTAATAATTGAGTAACCAATTAGTACTTAAAATGCTTTCAATGAATACAAAATCTCGCCTTCATAGTCATGCATCGCAGTTCACTGCAACTAATTTCTGGACATAATCAAAGATCTTTAACACTAATCGCTTCTTTCTTTCAAAACACAAAACACCAAGATTAGTAAAAACTGAAAGTTTATATTTTACAAATATTGTGTTACAGACGGCAAAGATTGGAGAAGCCATCAAATATGTGAAATGATCTGCACGAAGTTCACAAATAGCATACAGCCGATAACAAATTAACATATGCTGAAACCTTGGTAGCAATAATCAATAAAAACAGCTACTTTGCTGCATTGACAACTCTAATGAGCCCTGATTTTAAAATGACCAAAAATGATTGTCGAAAAAAGTATGCAATCAGATAACCCACTAACAACCAGACAACATGTATCTCTCAAATCCTTGCAGAAAGTATAAAACTATATATACGTGAACAATAAAGCAATTAATTCAAGACATGTCTTATATGTACAGTGCTACAATAAAACCTAAAATTTAATACGGAGAAATTTGTTTCGCATTATCGAGCACATAACAAACATAACCACAAGAAATTCAAAGTTATCTCAACAATCACTGTGAGCATAAATATTTGATACATTGTTTTCAGAATTAAGTAAATAAGTAGAAAGACATGAACGGTTAGAAAGAATTAATGTCCAAACACCCTAAAATGTTAGGTTTGAGTCAAAGATTAAAATTGGCCGCTCAACATTAGTAAAGGTTGATGTATATAAGAAGTGTTCGACTTAACTAAAGCAAGAGTAATAACGCTGAAATCTATCCTGTTCTGCCAAAAGGAACCTGAGTGCTTCCAGCTGTGGCGTTGCCAGAGTGTTCTACATTAGCTTCACCTTCGGGGGCAGCACTTGTACCAGGAGAATTTGGAAGAGCTTGTAAACGGTTACTAGTGTCCTCATTAAGTGTAGATGAAGTACCAGCAGGACCTCTTTGTTTAAGTATGGTCCAATCGAAAACGTAATCGAACTGATGGCTCATTGTTCTAAATAAAATACGGAATAACTGGCGAAGATACATATAATCAGGTGTTTCATCGAATCGCAACCCTCTACAGTAATTCAGATACATCTGAAATTCGGCAGGATAACCTTTGCATAACACTTCAACAGGTGTTGACATTTTTTTCTCGCTAATTCTTTCATATTTTTGACGTTTCGTGGTCGCCTGAAAGTAAAAAGTTTATAGGTTATCATAAAAAACTACATTCAGTGAATGTATTGAATTTACACCGAAATTAATCATTTTTATGACAGGATTCTTTAGAATCTTATAAATGAGAAATGTAAAAGACTGGCAGTTTAGTTTCTTTTGTGTTATCTACGTAAGCTTAGCAGTAGGAAACCAGTACCTGAATTTATTTTCAAGAGCATATTTTCAGAATTTCGCATCACGAATAGCCCATTTATCCGGCTATGATCGCAGGACGACTGGTTATAGAAGTGTGATGTGGGTGATAAGACCAGACATTTGACCGTTATTTACACTTAATTGACAGGTTGATTATGAAAAATAACTTATATTCAGACTAAGACAACGGTAATTACGGTTTTATCACTATACATAAAATTAAAAACTAATAAACTAAATGACAAGATGCACATCCCCACTTATTCGGCTACTAGCAACCAACTGCAAGGTATGTGAATTCTAAAAACACTGCCGATGAATGAAGACATCACTTGTTTATAATAAAACACGCTTGATGCATTTCAAGATTACAAATTAAAGTTGTATTTCTAACTGACTTGGATTTCTAGAGGTCCTATTTATGTAGATAAATTTCATATTAAGTGGCAATCAAGTGTAATATATTACAGGTATGCTGGAAATAGTGTTGGAGTGGATTATCTTTAGGTGAGTTACGTAGTTTTTGACATATGCAAGTTACTTTACAGAAAACCGAGATACCCTGTTCGGCTGACCCTGAATAGACTTACAGAAGATAATGACATCTATCCAGACTCCTCTGCACAATTCACGTAGTATCACTGTTGAGTCAGTCATACACAACGTAGAAACCGGGACAAACGCACACCAGTTCAAGCTGCTACACCAGGTCAAATGAAACTATGAAGATGAAAGCTAAAGGTGCAGTATCACCGACAGTAAGAAAGATTAGGGATATTGATTACAATACAAGACGTAACAATATTCAAGAATAATGGAATTCTCGGTCAGTTTCTAAATATAAATACGTAATGTTAAGACTGGAAAATTCCGTAACTTACATTTTTATGACATCGTTTCTAGTACATCATTTGGAAACACTTATCGATCCCCTCAGATTAGTTAGTAAAACTGTTATTCAGCATAGTGATGTTATTTCCACCATTAAAATTTCCGAGCTCACACTCCAACTTAATAGGCAACTGTATTCAGGATTTATGACGACAGGTGTAAATTGCGTGCCCGATTTTTGAAGTACATACTTCAACTCATGAATTTTTGAGATTTACATGAACATAAACATAGGCACAGATGAGAATTAATATATATATATATATACCACTTAAATCGCTAGGTTTATGTGTTGACTGGGTTACTGAGTATGCCCAAGCTAAAGGAGGTGAACCTCTTGTTGGAAGGCTCACTGAACGTTTAATCTAGACGTCTGGTTTATATGGTAGTCGGGAAGCGTTAGGAGATGCGGTTTTATGGTTTATACGCCATTTGTTCGCTCAATATCCTAGACCTTATGTGCTCCGTTGGTTTGGAATTAGAGTTTTCAAACTCTAGAACTAGGCGGACTCTCCTTACATCCAAAACTGATTCGAGCACCGAACATTCGCTTTTCGTCCTCTCAATTTCGCAGACAATACCCACAGGCAAGAAGGCAGTGAAAAGAACTCCCAGTGAGTGGCTACGTGAGCGCAGTGATATGTGAGCATTTCAAGAGGAAGAGCTGGCCGACCACACCCTCAACCAATTAGGGGGCTGTCTGATCCCTTGAACTATCCGTCAGACCATACATGATGTATCTCAATTTTTGATGATTTTAACAAAGGCTACATACACACTAGTGTGGAGACGAAATGACACCCATCGCCAGGTCGTAGGGGGATTCCTAGAGACTGTCCTGAATACAATCATAATTTGTTACACATACTACCCTCATACCGATATATTGGGATCGAACGATATGACAGAACAAGTGTTGGCTGCTATAATTCAACCGTATTATAGCATCACGACTAGTGTCGATACGGCAGAACGAGTCCAAATCAGGTTCACAATACTATAGGATCTTTCAGGACTAATCAGACAGACAAGGTGACGTGTAAAGCTGTGCTCCTAAGACTGACTAGCTGTAAAATATTTACACGAGGTATATTAATTAGCTCAGATGTATAATACAAGGAAAACTGACAATATTGTTACTCATATTAAGCAACAGGAAAGGTTAAATACGTGTTACATAGGTGACTGAATGAGATACCTACCCGTAAACCTTGCCAAGGCAAAGACCCACGATTAAAATACATCAAAACGTAGCCTAGAGACTCCAGATCATCTCGACGAGATTGTTCTATGCCCAGATGTGCATTAATACTGGCATATCTTGCTGTTCCGGTAAGGTTTTTGTCTTCTCTGTGCTAAGTAAGAGAAATAAATCCCAATTACCTATAACTGATGTGTCGTCCTGTACGCACATCTCTGTAGCGTTTAGCCAGGCCAAAATCAATCATATAGACTTTGTTGCAATGACGTCCGATTCCCATGAGGAAGTTGTCAGGTTTAATATCTCGATGAATTAAACTTTTATTATGAACATTTTCAATCCGAGCAAGCATCTGGTCAGCAAGCATTAACACAGTTTTCAGTGTGAACCGCCGGCAACAAAAGGTGAATAAGTCTTCTAAACTCGGACCTAGAAGGTCCATTACCAGGACCCAGTATGTTCGGCAAGTGCCGTACCATCTTAACAATCACATTAACTTAATAACTCACCTCGCCTGAGGTATACCAATTGCACCTGCAAGGAGTCGATAAACCTTGTGTTCGAACTGAAGTTGTGGATGTTTAGCATATATATTTTCCATCTTGACTGCAACTTCCTGAGAGGAAAAGAGAAAACATTCATACCATTATCAATAACCCTATATACCAATTAACCCAACATTGAGACGCAAGATGACATCAATTACAGAAACCACTTGCAAAAAGTTCTAACTTACCTCACCCGTCAGTTGATTGACCCCCAGGTATATATCTCCAAATGACCCCGAACCAATTTTCCGCATAAGTCTGTACTTATCATTGACTAAGATATCAGTTCTCTGTCTATTAACAAGGTCCGCCATATTTACTGACTGTTTTCCCGGCAAAGCAGTTCTCAATCTATTCAAACACTACAAGCAATTCTCTCTCTTTGTAAGACAGAAATAGCTGACAGGACGCCTGAAAAACCTCGTATTCGGCATGTAGTAGTAAACAAATCCCCGAAATGAGTAGTTCTGTAAGTCTCCGACATTTGATGCCGACCTCATTAAACCTGCTGGACAAACCTAGCTGAAGGCACTTGGTCCCGTATTCACACTAGATCACGAGTGGGCAGGCTGTGCTGTGTATCTCCTACGGGCGTTAGTCAGCTTAGATCAAACGCCTTCCGAGATACCTTTGAAATATAACTACAAACTTCTGACTTGAATGGGTTAGTATACATCAATTATAAATGTGTTACTAGTGAAGGTGTTGTCAAACTCTGAATACTTGTGACCTCTTCAGTGGTGAGACCGACGTGATCTAGCACACCAATTCACAAACTGTGGATCCGTTCCTCTCTGAAATATTATCTTTGATTTTTAAATTTTTATTTTCATATACTGTATTCATGTTTTCGGATTTTTTCGTTAGTGTACTTTATATATATCATGTTGGAACAAACTCTTAAATAAGTCAAGATTAGAACCCTTTTGCCTCTATCATTCCAGCTAATGTCATTTTGGCCTGATAATATCGATGCTTGGTTCTGCTACACAGTAGCTGACTTCCACGACCATGGCGTCACAGACCCGCGTGCACAATTCCTCTCACAATTTCATTAGTTACGCCACACTTGGTATATCCACTAGTTATGTATCTGAACCTTAAGAAATTTTTAAAAAAGCTATCCTTGAACTTCGAGCCCTAACTGACTGACAAAAGTTGGGCCAGCTCTTCTGCGGCTCATCAACAGAATTGTTTTTACGTGGGTGATAGGTCATTTGTCAGTGGACCTTCGATGAGAGGCCTTTTAGATATCTATTCTTTTCTGAGCTTCCCCGATAAGTGAAGATAATGCTTCGAAACAACTCTATGAACGAACTGGCGGTATCTGCCGACCGGATTTCGGAGACTACACAATTCTAAACACCGAGGCCTATTCGGTCAAACAGAAGCCTCAAACGTCACGAAATGACGTCACAGAACTCTGAAGTAATCTGAAACGTTAGCTCATTATTCATCGTGACCGTAGATGCCCCCAAACTCCACGAAGCATTTCTTCACGAAAACTAGATCTTGAGGCAATTAAGCTTGATTGGTGCTGGTACGATTATAACTGCATTTCCACGTGTTCCAAACCAACTGACACGAAAATTCCTTCATGAAACTTCCTAGTTGGTACGCGTCAACGACGATCGTAGCCTGAGAAAATATCCGTCTGTTATACATCACTGACGTGATGATGAAAGTTCGCTACCTGGTCGACAATGGCACAGAGATTAGCTTTCTTCCAGAAATTTCAAAAGGCCGACTGTACAAATCAGTTTTCAGATTACAGGCAGAAAATGGGAAACCAATTGCAATATATGGTAAAAACTATGTTTATTTTAACGTGGGTTTACTTAAATCCATTCATTGAATTTTAGTTGCTGCAGATGTTTCTATGTCAGGCATGGGTATGGAGCTGCTACAACACCATATGTTGCTTATTGACACGCACAAATGGAGGTTAGTAAACGGAAATACTTATTCATTTGTTTGTGTAACTTCCTTATCTGCTTACTCTAGAAGTCAGATACGAAATCGGCCTTACAACCTCCGAAGATTCTCGAGGCCCACCTTACGCCGTTTACCCCCAATCGAGCATAGGCCGCCAACTAGCAATCTCCACCCCACTCTGTTATGAGCCTTCCCTACTAGTTCTACCCAATTGTTGCTCATTCTTCTCATGCCTGTCTCCGTTTCTCAGCATATTGTGTTCTTTGTTCTTCCTCTTCACCCTTGATCTTGAGGATTGCAAGTGAGTACTTGCCTTGTGCAGTAGTTGGGTCCTATCCACTTCCAGTGCTTCTTTCTGATTTCTTCCTCCGCTTGAATCTGTTTTGTTCTCTCTTACAGTAGGTTGTTACTGATAGTGTCTGGACAACGGATCCGAAGTGTTTTTCGTAGACAGCTGCTAATAAACACTTGTATCTTCTGAATGTTGGCTTTCATAGTTTTCCAGGTTTCCGCCCCATTACAATAAAACTGTTTTGACATTTGCATTAAAATTTCTGAATTTGGTATTGGTCGACAGTTGTTTTAAGTTCCAGATGTTCTTCAGTTGTAAATATGCTGGTCTTGCTTTGCCAATCCTCGCCTTCACATCTGCATCAGACCCACAGAGTTCATCAATGGTGCTGCCCAGATATATGAAGGCTTTTACATCTTCCAAATTTTCTCCGTCAAGTTTGAATCGATTGGTGCAAGCTATGTTTTTTCGGAGAATCTTGCTTTTCCTTTTATGTATGTTGAGACCTACTGATGCTGATGCTGTTTCCACACTGGTTGTCTTTTCCGGCATTTGTTGTTGCGTATGCGAAAAAAGAGTCAGATCGTCTGCGAAATCTATGTCGTCCAGCTGCATCCTACCTGTCCACTGTATCTTATGCTTCCCATCAGATAATGACGTCTTTATGATCCAGTCGGTCACCAAGAGAAAGAGGAAAAGTGAGAGTAAGTAACCTTGCCCGGCTCCGGTCGTTACTTCGAACGAATCTGTCAGCTGTCCTTCACACACGTTTTCGCAGTTTAATCCATTATAGGAATTCCGTATGGTATTGACTATCTTCTCAGGCACGTAGTAGTGTCGAAGCATCCATAGTGTTGTCTTTTCCGCACCAGCAAGTGCTTTCTCGTAGTCAATGAAGTTGATGTTGAGTGAGGAATACCATCCAATTGATTATTCCGCAATTATCCGTAGTGTTTTTATTTGGTCTGTATTCTTCAACATTGATGCCGACTTCGTTATTTTTACAACAAGCACCTTAGTTGATGGCGCCCGGCGAAGTGTGCCCCCCAGACCACGTTTGGGTACGGTGTGATGCACATCTTCCAAAACATCTTGGATTGCATATTCTCTACAAGCGGAACAATTTTGGAATCACTTATTTCCTAAATTCTGTTTTAAATGGGGTTCTCGTCAAGGTGTTTAACGGGCGGTAGAGTTATAAAGTTATGAATATCCATGACATTCTAATTTTTTAGTGTTAGTACGTCAAGTTTAATTTAACAATTTGTATAGCGTGCAAAGCTATTATACAAATGACTGCGAACGAACTCAATTTACGTCAAAGTAAGACATTGGTAATTCCAGAACAGTTAAGCAGCCAATCACAATCACATAGGGATTATCATTTTCGCCACTTTCGTAAACATAGTAAATGTTATGTAACATCCCGTGTATCTCTGGATTTTCTATCTCATTAGTTGGAAGTTCAAAAATCCCAAGTGTTAGTTAGGGTGCAGCTTGTTTGGTTTTTACCTTGCAAGTTTAAGCAAACAACAACCGCAGGAACGTCAAACGGATCACTCTACTGAAATAATATGCACCATGGCTTCCATCAAACACTACTATCATAGTGAACAAATTTAGCCACACAAAAGCAACATATAGTATCGGCAGATATTTAAATTCAAGGAGCTAATTCTATATAACAAAGCCTATCGACTATTCAAATTATAGCTTATTAAGACTTACATGTAAAGGAAGGATGATGACCCAAATCACTGATGAATAAATACACGGATCAAATCCAAATCAGTAAAACCAAACATAGTTTATAATATTTTTCCAATGAGACTTCCACTGAAGGTTTACTGAGCTGTAATCATTGTCAACCTAGGGATTCAAACAAGTGAAATTTCATTTATCACTTTAGGGCTATGCAGATTATTAAGTTATTGATTGAGATCTTGAGACGATCGATTTTAGGCCACCATTGGAAACCTGGAAGCACCGGACTGCAGTTTCGTCCTATTGTGGAACTCCCCAGCAGTGAGCATCCGAAATCCCGCTCGTAAGATTCGAACCTAGGTCCTTCAGTCTCACGCGTTAACACCTAACCTCTAGATCACTGAGTCGGCATTCAACGATGTTAATGTCTAACCTCAACCAATCCGCGAAATCGTGCAACTGGCTGTGCACTGCTGAGAAGTTCCACAATAGGACGAAACAACCGTCCAGTGATTTCAGGTTTCCAATGGTGGTCTAACATCAATCGGTCCATGACGTCAATCAAAAATATCACTTAAGCCTCATGTGAATGTGTCCTGATTAGAGAAGCAGAACACTGATCACAAAAGTATAAATATAGCAAGATTCGGAACTCTTATAATTTTTAAGTAGAAATTACGCTGTTATATGTAAAACCCATCAACCAAGTAAACAGCGAAATGATCATACTTTATGGAGGTGATATACATGGTTGGTGCGGTAACGAGTATATTAATAATCTACACTGTATCACGGCAGGCTGTCTGTCAGTTTGTTGCGTTTCTGCCTCGCATTATTATATATGTGTGCAATATCTACCGTCTTTCTGTTCATTTAAAGGGTGAGTACTGCATATCAGAGCACAATTTTTATTCAACAGTTCCGGAGGCTCTTCGATAGTATGTTCACAGAAGACATACACTGATGCATTTACGAATTTCATAAGGAAAATTATACTTACATATGATGTCAGAGCACAAAAGGTGGATGACAAGATGGTCGCATATGCTAGCTACTGCACCCTCATTGAACATAGATGAATGGCTGTACTTACACTTTAGAAATCCTCCCTTCAAAAAATACTTGTCATTACCGGAAGAATGCCTTATTCATGCAAAACTCGTAGGTTTTAAAGACAAATCCTGCATTCCCAAAGTCTGTTTACTCTCTGGGAAAAACTTGACACTGAAACGTGTAGGTCCTATTCTATAGGTCACCTTTTTAGTGGATTTATCGGTTACAGATTGGCGATTGAAAGTCGGAGGGTTGTCGCGCTTTTTCAAATTGGCAAGATGAGTAGGAATATATATTACTCCGAAAAATACTACGATGACATCTATGAATACAGGTAAGCCTAAAATAAACAAACAATTGCCTATTTAAAATTATAGACACGTCCACCTACCGAAAGATTTGGCGAAACAGGTACCTAAAAATCACCTTATGTCCGAATTGGAGTGGCGAAAGTTGGGAATTCAACAGTCAGCTGGTTGGGTGCATTATATGATCCATGAACCAGAACCACATATCATTCTGTTCCGACGTTCACGCACTGATATACAACAACCAACATCATCTGCTGCCAATAAGACAGAATCTGGCCAAGTCCCTATGCATGCATAACTGTTAACTTTAGCAAACAAACTGCGTGTTAAGTTCTTCTTTGTTGGAAATCGTTAAATAATATGTCACTGAATCACTGCTTATGTATATACACTACTTTCTATAGATGTTTATATTACTAGGTACGTATGTACCTATATTCACTTTGACGCATAAGTGACTTTGTTTTCAATTGTCATGTGGTGATTATAGGTCTAACGGTTGTTGAGCTACTTGCGAACTGAGCATGACGTTATAAGGTACTATGGTGTGATTCTGGTAGTCCATTCACTTTCATCTTGATCTTCTTGCAAATGTTTCTTTGTGCAACTAGTCCTGTAGCTTCATTCATTAATTATCGTCTCTAACATTGTACTGAGTAAGCTAATGCACGATACTTTCTTACTGTTTACAACAGTGAACCTTAAGGAACTTACACAGCCACATCAATAAACAGGATCCTTCGATTCTAAGTAGTACAACGTTATAAATGTATTATTAGAATGTATTACTCTATGCTTGTAAAACCCACACAAAAGAAACCAAGTGTCTTAAACTAGAATAATTTCGTAGATGCTCGAAAAACTGGGATATACACAAATTGACCTAAATTAGTTGGTGTGTTATGAAAATTTACCTCCTACACTTAGGATAATTTTCGGTAAATAAGTTACTAAGCTCCGATTCCCACGTCAAATTATGGAATCCGGAGTAACCTTTTTTGTACATGATCGCTGTTACGGAAGGTTTATAATTTCTGTGCAGGTTTTCGTTTGATCATACCTCATTCAAGTATTTGTAGTAGATTCAAACGACTTCGGGTGAAATACACTCCTAACTTGATTAAAATCTAAGGTGGACGTAATCCACTGTGGTGACCCGGGCAACGGCTCACTGTAGATATTCACAATCTTAGCGCTTTATCTATACACAGATCAGAGCTTCTAAAGAATTTCATAGCTTCAGGAAATGTTAGAGATATGTTAACAGGTTTCCTATCTATCGATGAAGCTGAATAATATCAATTACTGTAGTTTGCAGGGAGGTTTGTTTTGTAGTCGCCATATTTAGTTCAACAGGTGAAATTAAACGTAAGAAATTGACGGAATTAAGTCGGTCCTGACAGCTATTAAAAGTGCTCTGGTAACTCAAGGAAATTAGCGCATTAATAGCATTAGACGTTTCTCTCGGATGCAATCTAATGTTTCTGAGAGTATGACTAGTTTAGAGATGTATGTAGTTGTTAAATAACTGAAAACTATGAGATGCTCGAGATATTTCATTCTTAAATATGATTTTCTCACTAGAGCAAATGAGTATTCACTTGCATTAAATGGGGTTCGTATTGTGTTTAGTTAGATGCAGCTCAGAATTCTTGACGATTTACTCCAGCTCGGTGATTCCACAGTAATTTCTCTATTATGGTCGTTTTAGGGATTGAGACATCTATTCAGAGCCTAGTGATGCTATCAAACTATTAAAACCTAAGCGCTTAGTAAGTGGATCTAAGAAGACTTATTTCAAACCACTGGATAGAGATATCAGAGGGAAAACCGATAGCTCCTAAATGAGACTTTACTCTTTGGTTTTATGGAGTTTTAGATAGTTTTCCTCATCCAGAATGTTACATTTAATTTGTGTGTGACTGTACTTAGTTCTTGAGGTAATCGGTTTTTCTCGGTTGAGGACCTAGAATTTTGGAACACAAATAATATTTGATGGCCTGCACCATGAGTACCACTTAATGTGAACTGAAAAAAAAAATTAAGAAAGTAATTTAATCTCAACAACGTCCTTGGTTCTCTTCGTGATTTAGAGATAGCCACGAAAAAGAAATAGTGAAGAACGTCTTAGCGCATGCAAATTTGTGTTGGTTTAAGCCACCATCATCCTTCACATTCGAAAAGGAATCAACATAATCAATGTTTCCTTACTTAGAAAGGGTATAAGTTTGTAGGAGATGGTTATGTAAAAAATGATATTTCTCAAAATTGAAACGAATTTGGTTCGTATCACATAGGGTTTCCAGTTATAAATTACCAATATTTTGAACTTTATTCACGGAAACTACCTAGCCGAAATCAATTTATCTGTTAATAAACTAGTGTTACTAGTCAATATTACTTGCATCTAACAGTCCAACACTTCGCAAGAACTATACATGTGCATTTTCCTAGTTAGTATACCAGTAACTATTCCCGGTTCTTGTTGTTTATCCCACTGAACAGGACTTCCGCATGTCATGTTGTGAAAGTTGGATCTAGCAGCACTTTGGACCATATGCATTTTAAACAAGCTACCCGGAAACCAGCCGATAATCTGTTCCCTCTAGTAAGGCAAAGAGCAAATAGAGTTATCCTAAATCCATTGCGAAATCTGGATATTTTCCAGTTGTATTTATGAGTAAAAACATACTCTTAATTTTAAAATATCACAGAAATTTGGGAAATATGTAGTCATTCATGGCGTTGTAGTTTTCTGTGAAGTGTCCGTTCCAATCCATGTCTCCTGAGTCGAGTTTTATACATACAAAAAGATTTCAAACATTAATACATTGATCGGTCATGGAGCAGTAACCAGTGTTATTTGTTTTCAGTGTTCGTGAAGTTCTCTCGATGACTTTGCAGCTTGGTAGGTAAACAATATTAATATTATTCAGCGGTCAGTCATCGTATATATCTTAATCTTACGTGAGGTCAGTCACAACCCGAATAGCTTAATGGTTATATCTTCGTAGCAATTGTTCCCCTGGAAATACAGGTACGGTGTGTCGGTTAGTTCCTACAAGTACTAGGACGTTGTTCTCAGGTTTCCTGCTAATAGCCTACGACTGCCTGGTGTCTTTGAAATACGTTGGCTTCGCAGGATTGTTTATGAGGAAGCTTATATTTTGCTGTACATAATCCGGTAAACCCTTTTTTCAACTAAAATCATGAAGGCCCTGCACGCGGAAGTTGTTGATTAGGACTATATTTTGGAAATACATGGGTGCTACGGATGCTCGTACAAAGTTACTTTGTAATAGACAGGTAAGAAAAGTAGACCCATGTTTCTATAAACTCACTGTCGGCATTGTATCTAGGTGTTAAAAAGTGGCAAATTTAGATTCGTCGGTTGCAGTAGTTTAGCCTTACGATGTTTGTACTCTAAGTTATTGATATACCAAATATCGGGTGCTGCTCTGTTCGACGTAATCATATTCGACTATTGATCAGTGTAAATAAAATGCATGAAATCCAATTCATTCGGATATAATGTCTAATTTATTTTTGGTGCATGATATTTATTTTTTGTCTCTGTCTTCTCATTTGCAATGAGTAATACAAATCATTGTTTAATTACGACAAGTCCTAATATGTTTCGCTCAGCCTGCTTATAATTTAACAGGGGTACCTTCCGATAACAACTTAGGGTTTCTTTAAGAGTAGATAAGTTAGTAGACATTTTTTTCACGGGCTGATATCGAAATGTTAGAAGTAGTGGGGAGTTTTTTCGTAGTAACGTCGAGATTTTTAGCACTGTGCACCGATCACCCCACATAGGAATCGAAATCTAACGTCTTCTGACCTTTCAGAGAAAAATTTAATCTCAGGACACTGAGTTTTGGTCCAGTGGTTCACATTTTCAGCTTCAAGCGTTTCGGTAGGTACTCTACTCATAGCGTGGTTGAAATAGATATTTCGTAACTCCGCACTAACTACTTTCTCTTTAACTTCAACACGCTATTTCTAGATATATCAGATCATAATGACACGACCTATATGGTTTGTTATGGTAAACCAATAAGCCCAGTCGGGTTTCAGTTTGATTTAACGGATTTTACTGGATTTATATTTATATACTTTCGGCTTCGTATAAATCCACTTGTTTGTTGGTGTAAAGTGGTTAATTGTTGTAAGTAATATGAAAACTAGAGGTCTAAACCAAGTTAATGAGAAATTCATTTCTTTGCACACCAAACTCGTAACTGTAGCTAGTTATTCCAAACATACTGTTGTATATCTTATGTAATTTCTTTTGATCCACAGAATGTAGCTGATATCACTTCTGCCAAAATATGATCTGCTGTATATAAATTACCTTTCTAGCGTTATGTAACAGATTTTTTTTAATATGAAAATGACTGCGTGTTAAACTTTATAAAAGAAATCTGTGTTCTAGGTTATGAATTGACGAGATATTTCTGGCTATCTTAATTAAAATTCAATATTTCTTATTGTCAGTGTGTATAAGATTAGTGTTGAGTTATTCATCATTGCAATCAGTATTAATAGTTTCCGTTTGTAGATGGTTAGCTCCAAAGAAAGTTAATTTCATCATTTACATTTGCTCTTCATAAATTCTAGCTTCACTACATTAAATTTAGTTCACTATACATAGTCTATACTTTTTAAAAATCCAAGATCCAATAAAACCCAACATTAATAATAATCTGTAGATCGCAATGTCTATTTTCCGTTTCGATTAAATGTTAGACCGGATATCTGTCGTTATGTTCATCTACAAACAAAAAGTTACTTGTGATATGGCTTTAACGTGTTGAATATAAACATGGTAACGTACGATACATGGTGAACAATTACTTAATCAATTCGGATCTGAATGTCATATGAAACTGACTTTTTTACCAGTCATTTGTGACGTGTCACGTTTTGAGGAGTAATCACAACTTACTAAATTAGTTATGCCTGTTAGTTATTAATACTTAATTGTATGATATTATAAACATGTATTCACACAGTAAGTTATTGATAAATTGGTGTTAAATACTATTTAGTGTCAGTCACTACGTTAAGCCCATATGCCTTAGTTCTAGATTCTGGACAAGCCAATTTATCCACTGTTCTTGAGTCGCTTTTTCAGATTGTTAATTATTCACTTATCAATCTCGACTGTCTTTATATGAGCGTATGTGTATACACTTCTTATTCTATTGATCACATATCTGTAGCTTATTTTTGTGTAACTATAAGTATTGATTAACGCTTTCTCCACCGCGCGTCGTTTTGTTTCTCTCACTTCTCTTTGTCCATCTGATTGCCAGCCCAGATCAGTGAGTGTGCAAAATATATGTATTCGAAACCCATTCTTGTATTTGGCTTATTTAATTCCGTTATTCACTAACACGGAATAAGTCAATTGTTACATACGATGATAGCCAGGACATATATTTTGACAGCAATCTTTGATACAATCTAGTTGGAGTCAGATCCAGGGCTACTAAAACAACTCAATTCAATTTCTACAAATTTGACTGCGAATAAATCATGTAAGAAATATGTTTATATATCACTTTCACTTGTTTCAGGATTCAAATCCTTATTCATCGTTTTCCAGCTCTTACTCCACCCGGTTCACAGTTTCCAGGTAATAAGTAATAAGACAGTTAAGGATCTTATGAGCATATAAGTTAAATTTATTTCAAATGAATCTTTACTGTTCTTTCATGTTTTTTTATTAGAAGACAAAGCTTTAAATTTATAAGATTTTTTGTTAGTCTTTTGTGGCCCTATATCTGACTACAATTGAATAGCATGGATACTATTGAAATATATACATCGTTAATCCTCGTATGTAATAATTGACTTATTCCGCGTTAGTGAATAACGGAATTAAATAAACTAAATACAAGAATGGGTTTCGAATATATATATTTTGCACACTCACTGATTTGGGTTGGCAATCAGATGGAAAAAGAGAAGTGAGAGAAACAAAACGACGCGCGGTGGAGAAGGCGTGTGAGTCAACTCCATTTAATCAAACGTTAATCAATAATTATAGTTACACAAAAAATAAGCTACAGATATGTAATCAATAGAATAAGAAGTGTACACACATACGCTCATATAAAGACAGTCGAGATTGATAAGTGAATAATTAACAATCTGAAAACGCGACTCAAGAACAGTGGATAAATTGGCTTGTCCAGAATCTAGAAATAAGGCATATGGGCTTAACATAGTAACCGACACTACAAGTCCTCCTGAAATTTCTTTTGCATACATCATTTTACATATATGAGTATCACTACATGATCAGTTAACCAACTTTATAAATAATGGAATAATTTCTTGGGATATTTGTTTCCTTTTTTTCCAATGATTGACTTGCCTCTGAAACTATCAAAGCACATTGTTTCATAAGTTATGTAACTGATTTCTTCAAAATGTGGGCAATTGCCATATTTTTGTGATTGACTTATGGATTTCTTTGTTATTGATCTAAAAATGACAGTAAAATCTGAATGAGAACTAGGCTTATTTCTCTCGTTTTATTTATTATTTCACTTTTTGCTAACACTTGTAGATTTGAGAAATATTTATTTCCCATTCTCCAGTCTATATATTCTATCAGTATACCTCATCTATTGAGTTCACATTAAACAATTATTATTGAAGAAATAAAAGAATTTCCAGTTTGCCAGTTTAGAAACATGGAAATTAAGGCTTAATGGTTACTACTAGGTGTATCTCGAGGTATTATTCAACTTTCACTTCTTCAGCATCACATATTTCTTACTATGTACTTATTCACCAATGTTTGTGAAGCATGTAGTTGGCAAAGTGTATCAGTACTTAGAATGAGCTTTAACATATTGTAAAAAAATTCAATGTACAAGCAGCATTATGTACTGCAAGTGTGAATTGTCTGTATTCATTGCACTTATAAATCAAAGTAATTCAGAATGCGCATTTAAAATGTATTTATCGCACTCAAATTTTCGTCTAGTTTGAATAGTCTTTTAAAAGATATGGGATTAATAAAAATAATCATTAACTTGTAGTGTGGCGTCGAGTCGCGTTTGACTATGATCACCACTACAAGAAGATTGCGTACCAGAACAACCTAAACCTTCGAGTAAACCAGAAATCAGAAGGCGATTGAAGGTTGTAGCGGGATATATTTGTTGGCGATCTCGTGGTATCGAAAGAATACCGAGATCGTGCCAAAGAAGTACAAGAGGAACTACTGAGCAAACGTAAGTTCGTGCAAGGTCACAATCAACGGAAGGAAGAATGTCTTTAGTACAATTAGACAAACAAGTACAATAAAACAATCACTGGTACAAATGGTTATAATAATAATTATTTCCATTAAACCAGTCGCGTTCTCTTGATAAAAATAGGTCACTGCAAACTCTACTACTTATAATTTATATTTCTGGTTGATGTTTTTTAACGAGTTAGTTTTCTACGGGATGGGGTCGCTAACCTCATCCCCAACCCTTTTTTTATCCGAGATAGGGACCGGAAGTAGCCCTAGATGGACTCCAGGCAGAGTTATGATTTATATTAGTATTACTTAAATAGCAGTCTATTGTCTTAGTTGTTTTGGGTGTTAACGAATAAGATAAATCTTTTAAAGTAATATAAAATCATTCTCGTAGCAATTTTCTGGCTGATAATTCTTAGAATAGATGGTTATTGATAGTACGATATTAAAACTTATAATTAATGTTTCTGTATTCATTTTTATTGGATGAAGCTATAAAATATTCGTAAAAAGAATAGTGGTGTTTCAAAGAAATGACAATTCTTTTTCTTCAACATACATAACCGCACAATTCTAATCTAAATAAAATATACCCGAGTGAGTTCACTGTATTTCTTATCTTCGGTTCTCATCCAGTTATGATTGAAAGAGTACGTACTGATTAGCTTTGAGAATGATTAGTTTACATATTGCATTCTATAATGCTATCAATTCGAAACATTTTAATAATTCTAATACATTAACTACAGTCAATAATGTGAAGAATATAGGAGCTCGATTCGTCAAGGGTAAATTTCTGGATTATGGAAAACGGTTCAAAGTCTGTTGTTTCGTAAAGATAATTGCATAAATTGTTTTCAAGAGTAGGAATTCTAACATCGAATTATATCGACAATATCCAAATAAATTTGGCATAAATTTCATTTATAAAACAAATAAATAGAATCGAGAATATAATTTGATAAGTATCACTTCAGGTACTTCATTGTTCCGAATAATTTTAGTTTATATGTTTGTATGAATGCAAGAAATAGAGATACATGTGATTTAGTTATCGATGTTGTCAGTGATTTTATGCGATAATTAGAATTAATCAAATTGATTTGCTAAGTAGGAATTCTGTGAACTGTTCAATTCATGCCAGATAAAATTCTATGGGCACAAATGAACATACTGTTTTTGGAATTAAAATGACACGCGGGATCAAGTACAAAGGAATTACTAATTGGCACAAACACTAAAAGTTCATCAGCTAGTAGTAAAAATAACTAAGACTGTAACACAGTTCGACATTGAGATGGAGGATATTTGTAGCTGAGGTGGATAATTTTGGTATGGTTTC